CAACAAGCACATGAAGAAATGTTCAAAATCCCTAGCTCTAAGAGAGATACAAATCAAAACAACTATAAGATATCATGTCACCCCAGTAAGAATAGCAAAATTTAACAGAACAGCAAGCAACAAATGCTGGCGAGGTTGTGGAGAAACTGGAACCCTTACTGGGAGTGGAAAATAGCACTTACTCAAAAAGTTGCAAATTGTTTACCCTAAAGAAACCATAACCGCCACCCAAGCATATATATGCACACCCATGTTTATTGCGGCTTTGTTCGCAATAGCAAAGAGCTAGAAACAACCCAAGTGCCCATCAACAAATGAATGGATAGAGAAGCTCCGGTATATACAATGGAATGTTATGGAGCATTGAAAATGAAAAACAAGGAACTCATGAAATATACAAAATGGGTGACCCTAGAGGATATTATGCTCAGTGAAATATCTTAGTCACAAAAGGACAAATATTGTATAGGGCCACTATTGTAAAATGGAACTGACATCTGACATCGGGGTTGAGGGAAGACAGAAGGAGGGAATGAATGATGTGTACTGCATTGAAACAGATGAGGGAGAGAACTGTTTAAAAAGGATATATGATTGAGTGTTATTGTCATGACATGAGTCCAGAATGAAGGCTCCAAAGTAGAGTGAACTTGGGGGGGGGGCGGGGAGGCATTGCATAACAATGGAAAAGTTTTACTTTTCAAGGAGAAGAGTGAATTGTGGGAGGAGAGGATGGGAAAGGAGAAAAATGCAACAATAAATGAATGGAAAGCCTAAGTCTCTATAAACTTTCACTAAAATTAACTTTAAAAAAGAGAGAATGAACCAAAATCAATGTCTTTATTCAATATCTTTGACAACTAGAAAAAGAATGTTTTATATCCTATTTCAGTGAATAGTTACTAGGTATTAGAATCTTGTGAATGGACATCTACAACATCTCCCTGAAACGTGAATGGAGCCAGAAGAGTGAAGAAAATCAAAGAGTCATAGAATAATCTAGTCAGAAGGACTAAACTATAGGAACTTCAAGCTCCACAAACCTGAGACCAGAAGAACTAGCTAATACCTGGCTACCACTATGACCACGATCACTCTGCAAGGAATCACAAGAGAGGGATAAAGATGTGAAGTAAAACTCAAAATCCTAAAAATTACCAGGCTTACTGGTCTGATAAAGACTGACAGAATCCCTGAGACTATGTAGAGCCGTTTTTTATGTTGTTGTGTGCCATCCAGTTGGAACCAATCTGTAACTGACCCTCCAGCAGGTTTTATACAAAATGGGTGACCCAGGGGATGAAATTATCTATCCTTCTCCAGCAAAGCAACTGGTATATTTGAACTGCAGGTCTTTAGGACTGCAGTACAGATTCTTAACCACTAGGCCATCTGGGTCTGAACTCACTCTAGCAACCTAATTCTAAATTTTAAAAACAAAAATGCATATAAACTAACAATAGCATCTGGGAAGTACTTAACCCTTATAACAAGAAACCACACAAGACCAAATGGGTAGAATTTTTCTTAGGATGAAAGGAAAAAAGAATGGGTGGAAATGAGAATCACAGAGAAAAAAGAGAAAGTATAATTATTACAATATGAGGACTGTCATCAATATCACAAAATGTGTATAACTGTATGGAACATTTATTTGTAAAATTTTTACTCAAATTGCAGTTAAAAGTTAAATAAATAAAACATTGGGAAGATCTCCTAAAAAACAGCCTTTTTAAAGTGTTAAAAGGCAAAGAACTACAGCCTTTTCAATAGCATGTGCAATTTGGACTAACAAGAAATATGAAAGAAGAATTACTGTCTTTGCATGATGGCTTGGGCAAAGATGTGGGTACTTCCGAAATAATGATTAAATTTATCTTACAGGAAGTACAGCCAGAATGTTCCTCAGAAGCAAGACTGAGATGATGAGACTTTATCCCACAGACTTTGGATATTTTATCAGGATGGAACAGTCCCTAGAGAAGGAGATCACACTTGGTAAAGTAGTTGCTGTTATGTTATGTGCTGTCGAGTCGCTTGCAACTCATTGCAAACCTAGGAACAACTTTAAGTAGCAGCTGATT